ATTACCGCACCATGCAGAATCCTCTTTTAAAATGATGCTGTCCTTTTGGGTAATTGTCAGCCATGGTATCAATTCCTCATGATGACAAAACATTTGCAAAAGCAGCAGAGGAAAAAAGCTGCAAGAGTTAGGGTCTGCAGATCTGGTTTTTATCCTAGCATAACTCTCCTGACATCAGGGGACTCAATCCATCTTTGCATTTGCCCTGAGAGACAGCAGAATATAGCGACGACCATCGTCCAAGAAGGACGAGCATCTTGTTCTCCTACATGAGGGTACCCTGGCAGGACAGGGGAATATATCTTGTTCATTATTATTCATATTTATTGATGAAGGAGGAACCTTGTTCTTAGTACTGTAATGGACACAATGTATAGATGTTTCCTGAATTGTCTTAGATTTCTTAGAGTTTCCACTTTGATTTATGGGGGGAAAAAGGAAGTTTCTGGTGGTTTTAGTGAGTCAGTATCCCTCTAATTAAGAGCTTTTATTTATGAAGTGGCAGGTCATTTTTACTTGAGCTACCCAGCAATCAGTGAGACTCACTCCTGCTGACATAGCCCTGTGGTGTGGCTGACATACAGTATGTGCCTGCAAAGACTAGTTTCTCAGTCCTGCTAGCATTCACCTAGAAGATGGTGAGGGGAAAGCACTGGGGGAGAAGAGGATGGCTGGAGGAAGACGGCAGGATCAGGGATGGGTAGGGAGAAGGGTGCTCAGAGGCAAGAGGGGGTGAAGCAGAAAGCCCAGTCCTTGCAAAGAGCCTTCCCTTTTGCAGGCCCTGGACCTGAACTAAGTCCTCCCCGATAGAGAGGGGGCAGCTGTGCTGTGCACTGCTCTCCTGGTACAGCTGTCACCAGTTGGATGCAACCAGGTGGATGCAACAACATCTTCCTGATGTGTGTGTGGGGTGGTGGGGTCCTCTGGTCATCTAAAGGTAGGTAGAGACCCATGGAAATTGGAAAAGAGAGAGAGAAAACACCTGCCCCTGAGTCAGTGGCAAGTCCCCGGAAAGCCAAACCAGGCACCCTGCAGTGGCTGGACAGTAAAAAGGCATCAGCAGCTGTGGTCTGAGACAAGGAAGAGTTAAAGGTGGTGGAGGGGGTTGATCCTGACTGGTTTCAGGGTCAAGCCCCATCCCTCTTTGACCAGCATGTGGAACCTGGTGCAGTGGTGCTTGTACATCCTCTTCTTCCTCCCCCCGGGGTGAGTCACAATCTATTTGTGAGCCTGCTGGCACAGGCAAGCTGTGGGTTGTTTGGGCTGACATTCGGTGGCTGGCAGGGGTACCGGTGCCTGCCGGCTCGGAGAGCCTGGAGCAAGCCAAAAATAGAAACTCCCAAGTAAAAATAACTCGATGCAAGGAGACTTGTGCGATGACAACATATCTGGTATCGCTGCATGCCGCTTGGCCAGGGAGGCACTGCTGGGAAGGTACGTGGCTTAGAGAATGAAGCAAGGGGAAAACGTATGTGAGTAGAGGAGAAAAACACAACGTGGTTTCGATCAGTCTTTGGCGTCTGAAAGCTTGCAATTGCAAGCCATTGTGCCGGGCTGAGAGCCAGGTCCTGAAATGTCGGTGGAGTTACCCTGATTTACATCTAGGTGCCAGTTCACGGCGTCTTTGACACCTCCTTGAAGGTCTGAGCCGTCAGTGTGATCCGTAGCCTGCACCAAGGTCTTCCACCTGAGCTGCACGCAGTGATTTGGACAATGCTAGCTCTGGCTGCCTGAGGAAAAGGAATGCCTGGAAAAAATATTTTAAAAGGATCAACTCACTAGGCAGTCCTCATCTTGCCTCTTCCTTCTTTTGTTTTCTACATAATGTCGTTCAGTACAACTAAACACCGTTTCACGTTGCTTAGAAAAGACATGCTAGGCCAGAAGCAATGCTGTGTAACAGGTGCTAATATCCAAGCTGCTCAGCCAGCCCCCTCCTCAGAGCAAATGCAGTCATTTAAGGCTCCTGTGCTTCCCATTAGAGGATGGACTCTCCCCACTGGAAAATCTGACAGTAAATGCTATCTGCAGTTGCCATTAAGAAGTGACCACAGATGCTGCATAGTGCTGGCTTGAGTACATCAATACTTCCCGCAGTGCTTTGGGCCCATAAAGTGCTCTCAGTTAACTGAGCTTGGATAAATAATTTGGCAGCCTTACTGAAGAGGACCAGAGAGCACAGGGACTAAAGTATTCCCAGATGTGGTTCTGGCAGGTCAGAATAAGGCATGTCGTCAAACCAGCAAAGCAGAATTCGGGCAGGTCTTACCAGCGCTCTCCTTTTATGGGCAAATACAGCTCTTTCTCCCCAAGGGAGAGCATTCACATTGCATTTGGGAGGTGTATTTGTGTGTAGACATACCAAATAGCTTTAATCTAGTTAGCTCAAGTACCAGTTGCAGCAAAGCCAGCAGCACTGGCCTCAACATGGACTTCACAAACCTACCTAGGTTGCTCACGTGCCACAAACTTGGATTGAAGTCTCGCAGCTGGCAGGGCTCAAGCCCTGTCCACATGGGTTATAGTCACATCTCCTATGGCAGTGTGGACATAGCCTAGAACAAACAATCCACCTGACTTATAGAGATGGCCATGTTCAATAGCTGATCCAAATCCAACTGAGGTCAGTACAGCGATGCTCATTGATTTCAGTGCTTTTTGAATCATATTTCTAGTGCCCTTTCTAGATGAATACAGCGAAAGCGTGGAAGGGAAGTGTGTGTGGCTGGCTCCGATTTCCCAGCCCTGACTCTGCTGTGTTTCAGACGCTTCTGGTTACTCTGGTAGTGTTTAAAAAGAAACCTTTGTCTCTATGACTTGAAGAGGCCAACACTAGAAGAGGTTTATTCATTCCCATGAGAAGACTGTAAACCCCAATGAAACGTGTTTGCCTTCTAGGAAGAGAAGGCTTAAATACAGAGTCAGAAAGACTCTGATGCTTCAGACCATTTGCAAGCGCGTTGATTTTTCATCAGATTTGTTGTCTTCCCCTGGAAGAGGAAAAGAGTGTGTTACCGCACAGCTCCAGAATACTGCAGTCCGGGGGGCGAGGTGATTTTTTTAGCCACCCAGTGCTGATGGCAGCAGAAACTGGGCACAAAACATTTCTGCAGCAAATAAACATCCTTGTGCACAGCCACCGATGAGAAGTTTCTTCCACACCTGCCTCTTGGGCTGGGAAAAGGAAAGAGCCATGCAACCCCACACAATCCATTCCTCTCCCTTGTATGATATCTGCTGTGGATGCTTTATTTTACTCAAAGGGCCTAGCTGTCTATTTAGTAATACAGTTGTGGCAGCAGCTGCCTTTAGCCTTCGGTTTGCACACATTAATCACCTCCATGTTAAGGAATGCTCCGTGTTAAGGAATGTCTCCCAGACGGCTCAGCCCGTTCATCACTTTGCATCATGACTTTTTTTTTGGAAACTGCTGCTACTTTTTGAATCATTCTGTTACCTCCATCTCCTCTACCCCTGCCAGGATGGTGCCTGCACTGTGCCATGCTCCCCTCGGTTAACCCTCCACTGTGCTCACTTGAATCCCCACCTACCATTCCTTGCCCAGATTCCTTCCTGACTTGTCTTGATATAACAGACTTGGTCAGACTAACTCCAGGCAGGGTGTCACCCGCAGCATGTGGAGCAATGTTTTTGCCTGGCGCTGTGTCCTTGCACTCAGAGATTGTTTGCTTTTGTTGCTCCTAGCAGCCACTGAGCTAATGAGTTTAGATATCTACCCACAGTCACTTCCAAGCTCTCCCTCTAGCAGTGACTTGTGGCTTATGACCATTCAAGTCAAACCATAGCGGTCTCTGTTGACCACTTTCTCTTTCATTGAGTTTGGCCTTGCTGCCTTGCCAGTCCTTTAGTTGGCTATCCCTGTGCACAGAGTTCTTTGGGAGGGTATCAGAGGTATATCATATCCTACGGTTGTCTTCTCGTGCTGAAATGAAAGGGGCCCTGTGGGTCTGCAAAAGCAGGCAGTAAAAGCTAGAGAAATCTGTCTGACCCCTTCCCAGCAGACAGAGCTGACCATGCATAGAGGCATCAGTATTTCCCATGTTTCAAAGAATGTCTATCAGAGCCACAACAGTGATAGGAGCTGTGCTTGGGCTGCCTGAGTACTCTGAGGTAGATGCCTGGAGTGTGCACAGATAACAGAGTAGAGTGGCAAGGACAAACTGAAATGATATCACACTCAAAGGGAAGCCATCGAACTGCTATTTTCTGGGAAATGTTCGTATTACCAAAAAAACCCCAAACCCAACTGTCTCAATGTTGATATCCATTCATGCAAGTGATGGGAACAGAGCCCAGTGCACTGAGGCAGAGAGAGGCTTCTTCCACAGACCTTGTTCTGGGTGTTGAATGGGCTGGATAACTAGCCTTCTCCCTGGGCAGTCCTGGTGCAACCACACTGCAAACACATTAAAGTACCATATAGTAGTCATGACCTAAAAACCCCATGGGAAACCATGCACTGTTCAAGATATAGAAATCAGTAAGGCCTGGATTTATTTTAAGGATTTGGTAAGCTGGTGAACTGCAAGATGTTTGTCTGTCTTTTTGGACTGTCCTGTCACCTGATTTTTGCTTTTATTCCTTGTTTTTAAGAATCCAGGCTTTTTCTACCAGATTCACTCTTCGATGGTTGCAATAGCAAACATCCCAGACATCTTGTAGAGCTGAATGAAAAGTAATTTTACCTTTCTGTATAAATCTTTCTAATTACATTAGATTTTGTTGCGAAACAGTTAACAAGTTGCTGCTTATAGCTGTTTTTATTGATAGAATGGCTTTGCAATATAAGATTAAGTTCCCAGTCCTGCAGACACTTGCATCTACAGGTAACCTTCAGCATGTGAAGAGCTCCAATAAGCAGGACTGCTCACTTGCATGTTTTCAAATGGACATGAACACGAGTCATGTGGGATCAAACTAGCAGATAATAAGTCTCTCGCCTTTTCCCACCTATTTTTCTCCTGTTTGGGGTTTTTCAGGTTGCATCAGGTGAACTTCGATGCGCCCACCTGTGAAGGCAAACGACGGGAAAAGCTGTTTCTAATCGGGGACTTCTCTTCCTCAGCGGAGTTCTTCGTCACAATCGCGGTCTTTGCCTTCCTCTACTCACTGGCAGCCACTGTGGTTTACATCTTCTTCCAGAATAAGTACCGTGAAAACAACCGGGGGCCTCTCATTGTAAGTGTGTGTCTTCAGGGTCAACAGACCCATCTCTCTTTCCAGTTGGATACTTGGTGTTTATATCTTCTGTACTTGGGTACTAATGCGTGTCTCACTTTACAAGTTGTTTCCATGCTTTAATCATGATTTATAAATTTTGGACCAGGGAATGTGGGTATTGGGGACAGCTGGCACTGGATTTCTGACCCAGGTATCTTGTTCTGGGGGGACCCAAACCCTCAGACCAAACCCGACTTTTTCCATTCAATAATAGGCAAATCTTATTGATACACAGTGATCGCAGATAAAAATAATGCAGACAAGGCAAACAAAATACCACCTCCCCCACCCCCGATTCTATATCTACCAGTCCTAAGGCTGTCACAGAGGGAAGGTACGTCTGGCCAGTGTGAGCTCAAACTGTGGTTTTTTCTTGAATATCAGATGACAGCCACCTGGAGGTCAAGGGCCAAGTCCTTGAGATAGGCAGGTGAGATAGGCAAGTGATATATCTTCTGCCCATGGTGGCCTCAGGATCCCCTCTC